CAGCCCCAGCATGACCATCAGCAGCCCTTCGTCCGCGGGCCTGGGCAACCCCACCTGCCCTGGTAACTACAGCCAGTCATGTCCCTTGATACGTCACTCGATTTTTAATTGTTTGATAATGATACACTTTTTGGAAAGCAGTACATATTCTGCATCGACATGCCGGAAGACTTGGAGAGTTTGCGGAACGGATGACATAATGGCTGCAGACTATAATAGAGATCACGCCCACCTCGCTCCAACTGTTCTGCGTTGCCTCCTCCTGTCACCCTCTTTGTCTCGTGTTTTCATTTCCATACGTACTCAGGCTGGGTCTCTCGGGCTCCGCGGAATGATAAGCATCTATCTCCAAAAAGCAGACCGGCGACCTTCCAACCTCCCCTGTGTGTTTGTGTGTTCAGGGACCCGGGAGCATGCAGAAACCAGGCAGAGTCTGACCAGACTGAGTCAGGAGGTGGGTGATAGGGCTGGTTATGCGGCTGCCCCTCTGAACGTGGAACAGAAGCCATGAGGAAGTAAAAATCAGGACCCCTTTAGTGCAGGCTGACAGTAGACAGCATGAAGGAGCTTTAATGCTGTAAACAATGCATGGTTGTTATAAGCAAATAATTACTGTTATGATCACTGCTGCAGCCAATGGGAGGTTTGTCATGTGACCTCCCGCATCTTTGCCCTGCCCCTTTGCAGATCGGATGCCTGTGCCAGCAGGTGTCCCAGCTCAGCCAGGAACTGCAGGAAATGACACGTCTGCTTCAGCCCCTGCTCCTCCTGGGCTCCCATCCGCTTCTCTCAGCTCTCACGGCCACACAGCCTCCAGCCTCCTGCAGTCCCCAGCAGGCCCCGCCCTGGGCTCCTCCCCCTCGTTCCCCACTGGACCATAGTGACTCTGGGGCAGGAGGGCCGTCGGGCTGCCTCGTACCCTCGGCGTCTCAACCCAAGGCCACTCCTCCACCTGAGACGCCTCCCTCGGGCTGCTCTGCATGTCTACCTCACGTCACCTCCTCACCAGGGGCAGCATCCACCAAGCTCTCCTCAGCTCCCTCCACCCCAACAACCAGGCTCCCCCATCCACCGGAGGATCAGTGTTTACTCACCTCCCAAAGCACCTCCTCCCCCCCCCCCCCCCCCCCCCCCGCCGCTCTGTTCCTCTCCCTCCACGTGTGGCTCCCTTACCCCCGAGCGAGGCGCTCACTGCAGGGTCCTGCTGTCTCTATCTTCCCCCCAGCAAGTGCCTTCCCCCCCTGCCACTCACTGCTCTGCACCCCCATCTCTCAGCACCTCCCCGGGAAACCAAAGGCCTGGGACCAGCACCTCCTGCTCCTCTCCCACATCCCTGATCCTGCGCCCGCCTCGCATGCCGCCCCCTTGCTCCTGCCCCTCCACTCACATCCCAGAATCTCCCTTGGACTCGCTCATCTCCTGGCCTCAGCTAAGTCCCGGCCTCCAGGCCGCAGAGACGAGGCTGCAAGGACCGTTAAGCGAACATGTCTTACTGATCGACAGTGAGGGTCCACAGGTGTGAGACACAGGAGAGTTACACAAGGAGTCACGTCAGTGGGGGCCTGGGGCGGCACGGCATTGTCCTTGATTATGTCTCCAGCTGCTCCGGAGAGTCACTCTCCTTTTCTCATTGGTCAGCTGCACCTGGACTAACCTGCCTTCCCTCCAATGACATCTCTCGGAGAAATGTGACACACCCACCAACAATAGTCATATATCCTTCCGAGTTGTGTTCAGATGAGGGAGGCAGCTGAAAATAACAGCATGATGATAATTGTGGAAGAGCAGAGTAGAGTTTGCCAAGCCTTGAAGCAAAAGGGTGCATTTTTGGTCAGGAGGAGAGGAAATATTTCAGGGTATGGTGCACCTTGCACCCAGAGGATTGTGGGTTTGAATGTGCAAAGCATGTATGTGAAATTCTCCCTGTGGTCTCATGGTTTTCCTCCTGCCATCCAAATATGTCCCCACAATGTCATAAAAGTCTTTTATTTTGATGCTGTGAGGGCAGTTTTTCAGTCCCCACAAGGGGAAACTGAATTTTATAAAAAATCTATGACTGCTATCAAAAAACTAAAAAGTTTGGTATTTTGTTTGGTTACATATGGTTAAGGTCATGGCTGGGCAGGGTTTATAGGCTGTC